TTTTTCCCACGACAGCAAAAAATCTTCGCCGTATGTGGGCTTTTCCTAGTATTTTTTTTCTAAGTATAGTTATGATTTTTTCGGTCGATCTGTCTATTCATCAAATCAATAAAAGATATTGGAGTTATCAAGATCTGATTATGAGTTATTTAACAATAAAATGAATACAAATTTGCAACTTGACAAATTAAAGGAAACTTTTCAAGTATTGAAATATTATTTAATGGACGAAAACGAGAGAATTTATAAGCCCAATCTATACAGTAACATCGTTTTAAATCCATTCCATTTGAATTGGCATTTCCCCATCATAATTATTGTGGAAAAATGTTTACAATAATTAGTCTTGGACAATTCGGATCCACTCTTTTTCCTATTCAAAGATCAGCCTTTTGTCTTTGTGTTTTCACATCGAGAATTCTTTGCAGATGAAGAGATGTCAATGGGGCTTCTTAGTTCCCAAACAGATCTTCCTACATCTATATATAAACGCTGGTTTATCAAAAATACGCAAGAAAAGCATTTCGAATTGTTGATTCATCGCCAGAGATGGCTTAGAACCAATAGTTCATTATCTAATGGATTTTTCCATTCTAATACTCTATCCGAGAGTTATCAATATTTATCAAATCTGTTCCTATCTAACGGAACACTATTGGATCAAATGACAAAGACCCGTGAATAGGATCAATTCTAACAAGTCACACACTCATATTCCGGAAATACAGAAACAGAGAAATTCCACGGTCGAACTACCAAATAAAACAAGATGAGTAGTTTATAGTCGACTCAATATCAACGAAATCCCCCCATTTTATCTTTTTAGTACCGATGGTCTTGTAGTGCACCCTTCATCGAAAGAGTAGGCGGTTGAAAGACCCACCTCTGAATAAACCTTTAGGTTGGGAGATATCAAAGGGGAACCACGCCTAGCTTATCTGTCCCTGTATTATTCAACTCATCTGTCCACTTATCTTGTTCAAAGCAGAAGGAAGATTTTAATCCTTTCTTTCGAGGGTAATCCCGATTCAACTATATGATCCTAACTTATAAATTTCTACGCGAATCAAGTTAAAGAAAAGGAAGTTTTACAATCATTGACTCAAATCCATTGTTGAACCGAAACAAAATTTAAAGAAAATAATACTTTTTGATCCCCTTACTAAAAGAATCCTATTCTTAGTTTCGATTTTTTCCAACTTAGAACTTTTATGTTTATGACATATAATATTTGGTGGAGTAGTGGACAAACAAAAAAAAGAGAGGGAATTTTATTGACCAAATACAAAACGTCTTCAATTAACTTGTTTAGAAAAAAGAATTCAATCATGATTCGATACTATTAGATACTAAAATAAAATCGATTTAGAGTTGATCTTAGGGTAGCGAGTTTCGGTAAGTTCAGTAAGTGAAGTGACGAGCGAAGGTGTACAAAGTCTATGACTCACACGCTTAGGCTGGTTACGGGACTTTGTGTTTCTTTCGGACAAGATTGCCTAGATTGATCAGATTCTCTTCCTATCTATTCATAATATCCAATGCGTCGCTTGGAGTAAGAATCACTTTGATTTCATAATACATATTGGGTTGAGTCGGGCAGGTCATATTGAAAAAGTATTTTCAAATCCTGCAGCAGCTGCACGAGCTCGTCCTGCGTGCCATAAATGCCCTACGAATAAGAAGAATCCTAGAACAAAATGAGATTTCACAATCTAGATTTTGAACCTGTTCTTTCCATAACTCCTCTTAATTGAGACATGTGATCCAATGCGTCGCTTGGAGTAAGAATCACTTTGATTTCATAATACATATTGGGTTGAGTCGGGTAGGTCATATTGAAAAAGTATTTTATTGGTTGGCTCGGTTTTTTCGGGCCAAGAAATGGTCTCTCCAACGCATAAATGGTTGGGAATTCGCATTTTCATCATCTTTGGTAAAATCAAGTCCACCGCGTAGACATTCATAACATCTTAATTCGTACTGATAGATCAACTAGTACCGCTCCAACTTACTTTTGCTTTAGCCGTGCGGACGCTTCATTCTTTAGTTCAAATCCGCTGATGTTCCTATTGGTACTAGAAAGGGAATTGATAGATTCCGGTTATCGTGTCACTCTACGGGTATCAGTCCATTCCAGAAGTTCCAACTCTAGCTGCTGTCGGGTAATCTGATGCTGTTCCAACTTTATCAATTACATCGACCCGGGCAGAATGAATAGAATCACATTTGTGCTACTCCGAAGCTGATGTTCGATTGAATTAACCTCAACAACTCGTGAAATTTAACTAATGGCCGAAGTCCTTCTTCGCGCACAGCCAGACCTTCTGCTCGATTGTTTGTTGCCTAAGTTGGGAAGAAGGTTGGAATCTTTCTCTCCCTAGCCCTAGGATAGAATGTGATCTCTTTCTCTAAAGGTTTTGAAAATGCAATCCTACAAGTACAGTTTCAGCAAGTAATAATAAATAAATAAAAAGAAATGGCCTAATCATGTAATGTATCAACAGCCAATCCTCGGTAGACAAGAAGGTTCCATCGGAACACTTATTTATTTTTATTTCAAGATACCCAGTGTCTTTTTTTTTTTCAATTTGTTTTTGAAAAAAAAATTGTGGAGCTAAATGACAAAAAGATATTGGAACATAACTTTGGAAGAGAGGATGGAAGCGGGCTATTACATTCATTATGTAGGGTATAACTATGAAAAGGGGAAGAAGTCGAGCTGCAAGAAAAATTCCCGCCGCTACCATAGTCGCAGCGTGTATGAGAGCGGAAATTGGAGTAGGTCCTTCCATAGCATCTGGTAACCATACATGAAGGGGGAATTGGGCAGATTTAGCAATGGACCCACAAAATAACAAGTCCAACTCGGGCCTATATGACATGACCTATCAATAAAAATACTCTAACACTCCACCCCTGTCATATATTCCATACATCACACTAGATAGATATCATATTCATGGAATACGATTCACTTTCAAGATGCCTTGGTGGCCTTATTCGATTACCTCAGAAGGTAATCTCGGCCTTGTTCCGCTACCCTGACCCTTACTCTATCTACTTACTTTATCTACTTACTTTATCTACTTACCCTATCTACTTACCCTATCTATAAGTGAAGCCATACTCTACTACTCGTACATACAAGCCCTATCCCTAGGGATCTTCCAGACCTACTATCGTTCCTGACCCACACCCGTGGATCAGTCACTTCCTCCCCTCAATCGTCGGTGGCTCGCTACCTCCCCTCAATCGCCGGGGGCTATCTCCCAGTCCTCCCCTCAGTCGCCGGGGGCTAACTTCTCTATTCCTAATTTTTTTATGTAATACTAAAAAGACTGGAAAAAGTAGGCAAGGAATAAAACGTTTCCTATGTCTATCATACATGAATGGAAAAAATCCTCGGATCAAAATTCTTGTTATTTTAGGTTTAAGCCTGACGAGAATAATATTCTACAACCAGCAATTCATTTATTTTCAAACCAACCCATTTATTATCTATTATTTGATTGACTAATCCTTTATATTGGAATGGATGAAGAGTCAAATGGGCTGGCAACTCGTCACGAGGGGCTGAATCAAGATCATTTTGAATCAAAGCTCTAGATTTTGGTTCATCCTTCGTTGTAATGATATCTTGGGGTTTACAGCGATAACTTGGTATATTAACCATACGACCATTAACTAAAACATGTCTATGGTTAACTAATTGGCGGGCTTGAGGAATAGTTGAAACCATACCCAATCGAATTAATTTAAATTTTAGAACATCAAAAATTTAAAATTTTCGATCTAGTAAACTCGTAAATAAATTTTATATTTAGATTCCAGATGAATCAAAAATTGATCAGAATCTTGATAATAAAAATCGAAACTTCTGTATCAATTGATAAGAAGAAGGCCAAGATACTTTGATTTCTTACGTTTCACAAACATGCTAATTTGAATTGATGAATATTACACTCTTATATCTAAATTCAACTTTTTTGAAATATATAACTAAACATTTATTCTTATAGACTACAACTAGACAATTGCTGCTATCTATATATATATAACTAGATCGAAATAATGTTGTTATGTTATAAGATTCTAACGAATCTTTTTTTATTTAATTTATAAAGATTATTATAAATAGGATAATAAAAAAGTAAAAAATTTCGCGGGCGAAAATTGACTCTTTCAAATTAGCATGTTTATCTAATTTGAATTTAGATGGAATATTATCCAAGTTGTTTTGTCTTATATTTTTTTTTAAGATCTGGTATGTCTAGATAACTACTATTTGTTTTTAGTTATTAATAATAAAAAAAGAAAATATATATATTCTATTCGGCCCAATCCTTTTCGTTCGAGTGCCCTAAAATAATATTCCAAAGCTTTCGTATGTTCTCCGTTACTTGTGTGGATAAGGCCTATGTTATAAAGTATATAACTTCGATCATAGGGATCAATTTCCAGTCGCATAGCCTCATAATAATTCTGTAAAGCTTCTTCATAATCCACTGGTTGAGAGGTTTCTCCCCTTTTTTACTATATCCTTTTTACCCGCCAATGAAATCCATTGAGAATAGAATGATAGGCTTTAGCTTATCACCCTCACTCTATTCTCACCTAAATGTCAACGATGGTTTCCAAGTCTCCTTAACGAAACAGAAAAGGTCCCTAGAAATAATAAATAGCTTTGTTTGGGGCCGAGCGCGAGCTTAATAATCTTTATATATGAAATAAAAAAAGATTCGTTAGAATCTTATAACATAACAACATTATTTCGATCTAGTTATATATATATAGATAGCAGCAATTGTCTAATTGTAGTCTATAAGAATACATGTTTAGTTATATATCAAAACAAGATATACAAATTGTCAATAGACCAATGAGTTCTATAAAATCTCAAAAAATTCCGCGATTCTATCATATTCTTCATTAAAGATATGTATGTATTTTCTATTATTTTATCAGTTAAATCTATTTATTTTTGAACCATTTTATTCGTGAGGAGCCGTATGAGGTGAAAATCTCATGTACAGTTCTGTACCCTTTTGTTGAAGGTCGTTCGAGCTTTTCCTGGGAGTATGGCATGGGTTACTTCAGCGCCGTAGCGTCGGGTACTCGAACATTGGCTCGAGGCATTTTCTCTACCCCTTCTTACCCTGAAAAAGCAGGGGCACCTTGCGTCCTTGAACCGATAACCATCTTTCGGCTATCATCAAAACACCAAACCATCCGATGTAAAGACGATTTTCAGTGCTGGTTATCCAGTTACAAAAGCGACCCCATAGGCTTTCGCTCTCGCGTCTCTCTAAAATTGCAGTCATGGTAAAATCTTGGTTCCTAGGATGTAGAAGATCATAACATGAGTGATTCGGCAGATTTGGATTCCTATATATCCACTCATGCGGTACTTCATTATGCGATATATATAAGATCCATCTAGGAAGCTTGGCAGCTCTGCCAAAAAGGTAGTGAAGATCTTAGCCTGAGAATAAAAGTGATTGTTAACCGGCTTCGCGAAATCCTTTACCTTTAGGCTTACTCGTGGCTAGGCACCTGCCTTCTCCTCGATCAACTATCTACCTCTGAAGAGAGAAGCCTTAATTAATAAATGTAGTTGCGTTCGTTCTCTTTGAATTCAAGGAGAGGAGTTTAAGGAGCTATTATAGGTTCGAAGAGTTGCTGCGAGTAACTTAACTTCATCAAGCCAGGAAAGAAGCTCGACAAAGCCTGTGCGGGGGTAGGGGCGGAGAGGAAAGCTTCTGATAATATACTTTTGAGGTGGCATCAATACCAGAGAAGAGAGTAGGAATCCCCTCTTATGTCATTTCCCTCCTTCCGATTCCGAGAAAAAGTCTTCGGTGGGGAAGACTCCTGCCTGGAGGCATTAAGGTTTGTTTAGTTTTAGTTTAGGCTGCTAAAGACTGACTTGCCCCAACAGCCGTAGCTAAAGGCTTAACCCATTGTTGAGTACCCAGATTCTTCAACCATCTTTTTCTTAACAATGTCTTTGTCATTTGATCCAATAGCATTCCGTTAGATAGGAACATATTTTATAAATATTGATAACTCTCGGATAGAGTATTAGAACGGAAAAATCCATTAGATAATGAACTATTGGTTCTAAGCCATCTCTGGCGATGAATCAACAATTCGAAATGCTTTTCTTGCGTATTTTTGATAAACCATCGTTTATATATAGATGTAGGAAGATCTGTTTGGGAAGTAAGAAGCCCCCACCCCGGCGGACATTTCGTGACATTGCTCGCCGACCCGCTTCTATTTGTCTAGATGTGATCCACGCGGGTTCAAGTGCCTGAAGAGCATATCGTCCAAAGCAAATATGATTACCTCGATAGGATATTCCTTTCATCCTTCCTCTATGTTGTTTACGGAATCTGGTTCTTTGGGGGTTATAGTTGATGGTTGGTAAGCTCTTTAAGGCCTTTGGGAAGAAAGCTAGAATGATTTTATCTTCTTTCATGTGAATCACATTAGCTTAGCATTAGCTAGAGTTTCTATAATCTCCAGGTCCCAATGTGGTTAAGCTTATAGCTCTTGTCGCTAGCTCTTATGAAGTTGTGAATGGTCTCGTTATCTTATTATTTTAAGAGATAGGCTGCTTTCCTTGGCACGAACGGGGGGAGAAGAAGTAGTTCCAGCGGCCGCCATGCCCCCTGTCCATTATAGCTATCAAGGTGAATTTGCCCTTCTTTCTTCCCTGTGAGCCTCTGCGTAGCAGGCCTCGACACACCTCTGCAACATATGGCCTCTTCGCCATGGTGGGTATATGCTAGCTTCAGGCGGGGTAGGAAATTCTTATGAAAATATGCCTTCGGGTATGCTGTCAAATAAAAGTCACCAACCATCTTATTGCACTTTGAAAAGTGCTATCAAATAGTGACTTGAACTTAAAAGTTCTAAGGTCACTAACAAGAACATGGCAACCAAAGGAAACGGCTATTTCCGAAAAGAAAAGTCTTTCAAAAATGTCATTGGCTGCTTTGTTTGGTAAGTTGCAGGAACACGAACTCGAATTGAGTCAACTTGATCAACACGAGGAACTAGAGAAGAAGAAGAAGAACATTTCTCTCAAGGAAAAAGCTGAGAAATATGATTCATCGGAGGATGAAGACGACAAGGAAGAGACTGACGACATTAGCTTCTTTGTTAAAAAGTTCAGTAAGTTCCTAAGAAGGAACAAAGGTGGAAGAACCGGGCAAATAAAGATGTTCTCCAAAAGCAATGAGGCCTCCACTTTAAACCATAATTTTACATGCTTTGAGTGTGGCAAACCTGACCACATGAAGATGGACTGTCCAAACATCAAGAAGAGTTCTTTCAAAGGAAAGAATGAATTAAAGAATGGACGAAGAGCCTACATCGCTTGGGAAGACAACGACACAAGTTCAGCCTCTGAACCAGAAAGCGAGGAGCATCCGCATCTCTCTCTCATGGCGTCTCATCATTCAGACGATGAAGAGGTAAATAAATCTATCCACTTTTCTTCTTCCGAATTACAAACTGCATTAATGATCTACATGATGAATACATGAAATTGTCTAAAATGTTTCTAAAAAAAAAATCTGAACTAGATTCTCTTAGAAACATACCTTCATCATCCTCATGTTTAAATTGCATTACTCTTGGCAACAAAGTTTCTACATTGAGTCTTGAACTCAACAAAATGAACAAGAATAGCAAGAGCTTGAGTAAGATCATTAATGATCAAAGACACTCTACGGACTGAAGAGGTCTTGGCTATGGAAAAGGCCCTGCTCTTAAGAACAAAGTAAGTCTATCATAACAAACTTTCGGAAAACATGTATCCCTACATCTACTCCTAGCAAACATAAATCTAGGATACATATACATCAACCTATTTGTTCTTATTGTAACAATCGTGGGCACACACCAAATACTTGTCATATTAGAAAATATGGTGTTCCCTTAGGACATTTTAAATGGGTTGAGAAAGGATCTAACCATGTAGGACCCAAAACAAGTTGGGTACCTAGTATAACCTAACCTGTTTTGCAGGTTGATTTGAGCGCCGCCCGCAATTTATGGTATTTGGATAGCAGCTGCTCAAAGCACATGACGGACGACAAAAGTATGTTCTTTGTCCTCACTCCAAGGAAAAAGGCTACGTCACATATGGTGACAAAAACAAGGGAAGAATACTTGCAGTCGGTAGAATCGGCAAGCCACCTTCAACAACCATAGAAGGAGTGCTATATGTGGAAGGACTCAAGCACAATCTTCTAAGCATAAGTCAATTTTGCGAAAAGGGCTTCCATGTATCATTCTACCCAGATAAGTGCATCATTGAAAGTAAGGAATCTCTAAACTCTAAACTCATTGGTAAGAGAATTAATAACATTTATATGATAGATATAGATTCATCTCTTCCAATAACCTGTTTAGTTGTAAATGATATTCATGATACATGGCTTTGGCATAGGAGAATTGCTCACATACATATGGACCATTTGAATAAGCTAATCAAGAAAGATTTGGTTGTTGGTTTACCCAAGATGAAGTTTGTTAAAGACAAACTATGTGATGCATGTCAAATGGGTAAACAAACAAAAACCTCTTTCAAGCCAAAGCATATGGTTTCTTCGGATAGACCATTGCAGTTACTACACATGGACTTATTTGGCCCCTCAAGGACAAAAAGTCTTAGTACATAAGAATGAGGCATTCAAAGCTTTTAGCACTTATGCTAAAAGAGTCCAAAATGAAAAGTCACTTAAAATCACTGCTATAAGAAGTGATCATGGGGGAGAGTTTCAAAATGCTTCTTTTGAGGAATTTTGTGATGATCTTAGGATTAATCACAACTTTTCTGCTCCTAGAGCACCACAACAAAATGGTGTTGTCGAGAGAAAGAATCGGTCTTTGGAAGAACTCGCTAGAACAATGTTGAATGAAACTAACCTCCCAAAGTACTTTTGGGATGATCGAGGTCGTCCAACCCTCAAATAAAATTCTAATAAGTCCTATTCTAAAGAAAACCCCCTATGAACTCTTCAAAGGAAGAAAACCAAACATTTCACACTTGCATGTATTTGGTTGTAAATTTTTCATCTTGAATAATGGCAAAGAAAATTTATGCAAGTTTGATGCAAAGGCAGATGAAGGAATCTTCCTAGACTATTCTCTCACGAGTAAAGCTTATAGAGTCTTTAACCAAAGAACTCTAGCCACGGAAAAATTTGACCATGTCTCCTCTGATGAAACCAATCCCCTAATCAAGGAAAGGTTCACCATTGATGAAGATGATTTGCCTAACTCTACTTTTAATGAAAATGCTATTATTGAAACTATACCAAATATAGAGAATGTGGAAGTGGATGATAATCCTTCCATACAAGAAGAGCATATTCACTCTGATTTATCCAAAGAGTGGAAAACTCATCGAGATCATCCTATAAACAACATTATTAGCGATATTAACAAAGGTGTTACCACTCGCTTAATGCTAGAAAATGCTTGTCTAAACATGGCCTTTGTTTCTCAAATAGAACCATCTAATATTGATGAAGCAATCGAGGATGAACACTAGATTCTTGCTATGCAAGAAGAACTTAACCAGTTTGAGAGAGACGAAGTTTGGGAACTTGTTCCTAGACCTAAGAATAGGCATGTGATAGGAAATCACTGGTTATTTCGCAATAAATCAGATGAAAATGGTATAATCATTAGAAACAATGCTAGACTAGTAGCCCAAGGATACAACCAAGAGGAAGGTATAGACTTTGTTGAAACCTTCGCTCCGGTTGCTAGACTTGAAACAATTAGACTGCTACTTGCATATGCATGCTCCTTGAACTTTCAGCTTTACCAAATGGATGTAAAGAGTTCATTCCTTAACGGGTATATAAAAGAGGAAGTATTTATAGAACAACTTCCTAGTTTTGAGGACTACAAACATCCTTCTCATGTATACAAGTTAAAGAAAGCCCTCTATGGCTTAAAGCAAGTTCCACGTGCTTGGTATGACCGTCTAACCAACTTTCTAACAGAAAAAGGTTTTACAAAAGGCAAGGTCGGCACTACAGTATTTATTAAGAGGATAAATCATCATACTTTACT